TGATGTGAGTGTGTGGTGGAAAAGTGATGAAATTTTTTTGATTTGTGTGTAATATTATTTTATTTGGAGAATGTGTGATTGAAATAAAGAATGAGAATGAGAAATTAACGGGTGTCAAACGGGGGCTACATTTCGGTTGGGTTTTAATAAATTTTGTTTTTACACCCTCTGTTTTTCCTATCAAGTTTAAATTTGTATCAAACAAATTATATGTCATTTCAATAAGAGAGTGTAGAAGATTGGGTGCATTTTACTTTAACTGAACCTCAAAAGACTTGAAGAGTAAACTGGGTACATCATGTTAACTTGTCGACTTTGCTGTATTCCAGTTGAAACACTTGGCAAATGCATTTGATTTTTGGTACTTGCAGGAAGAGAAGCTTCTGTTGGAAGTACGAAGTTGATTTGTATGCCAAATCTGTGAAAATACTTTTTCTTTTAACCTCAACTATCATATGTTTGACAGCGAAAGTACAGGGTGCCGCAGAATTTCAGAAAGTCTTTGAGTTCAAAGCTTAGGAGGCTTGTTTTGCGCGGCCAACTTGATAAGGTGATATTCACCACCTTTAGATAATGCCATTCCTCTTTATTTGATTATCTGATACTATGTTTGGAATGTGGCTTTGAAGTTCACGGTTTAAACAGTGGATTAGTTCTCTAAAAGTTTGGTATGGCCTTAGATGTCAATGCTCTGCTTTGTCTTATGATTGAAGGATTTTTTATGTTTTGTCAGGTCTATGCATAGTGGCTTCCTTACTTTTATCTTCCCATTTGCATAAAAAGTCATGATTTTTTCTTCTTTGCATGGCATTAAGATTGACCCATACCTGCATACTATGAAATTCACCATACAAATTGGCCCGCATTCTTCGTGACAGATAATAATTTATTTTATTTTGATCTTTAGAGTTAAATTTGAAGTTTTGAGTACAAATTAAGTGTGAGTCTACTTAGATGGGTGGAGCATGTCTTGCTTAGAGCTAAACTGCTAAAGAAGCTTTTATTCACAAGTCCAATGTAATCCTAGTAGAATATGTTTGGAGAGGGGCTGGTAGTGTAAAAAAATTAACTTTGACATATCGTTGCAAAAGATATGCTTGCTGCTTGCATTTTGGGGAGTGCGCTGTCCGGTTTGATCCGATTCTAAAGAGAATCGAACTGAACCCATCAATGAGTATTTTGAAAATGAAAACATTGATTCTATCTATAAGTATAGAATTGAACCGGAACTGAATGGTTCGAGCCAATTCAGTTCCTTCAATTAAGTTACCAAATTAGCTAACAATGCAAGTGAAGTGTCTAACTATTCTAGTCCTTAATCTATAATTGTTTAAAATCTCAATTATCCGTAATCTATTCATTAAAACTATTTCTATTGATACTAATAATTTGCATTTTTCAACTTTAACTAAATTTGTTAATTTACAGCAAATGGTTAACTATTGACTTGAATGAGTTCTTGAAAACTATGCTTTAATCTCACTTCCATTTTCTTTATGCTTTGAGGGCCGGAAAATGTTAACTTGGAAATGATGAAATTAACACAAGCATCTTATTAATATATTATTACATCTATGACATTAAATTGATCCATCTGTCCAAGTTTATAATAACGCCATAATAAGTTGAATTTGACTTTGATGTACAATGGTGAAATTCAGTAGAAAAAGTAAAATGGTTTGTGCATTTCAACCGCCACTATTTAAAATAAAAAGTAAACTTTTTAGGTTAAGTCGGGTTTTTTGGTTCTTGGCAGTAGAATCGAGAATCGGACCAGAATCGGCGGGTCCTCGATTTTAATACCCAAAACCAATTAGAACTTGAGTAGAATTGTACCGAACCATTTGGTTCTGGTTCAATCCAAAGGTTCTGCTAACTCTTGCTCGCCCTTAGCATTGAATCTTTCCTATATATATATTTTTTTTTTAAACCGAGTAAAAAATCACTCTTTTTTTATTCCAAAGGTTCTGCTAACTATTGCTTGCCCTTAGCATTGATTCTTTCCAATATATATATTTGTTGATTAAACCGGGTAAAAAATCACTCTTTTTTTAGGAAGAAGGCTAAGGATGTTTGGGAAGTGTGTATAAACGGTTTAAATTATAAATAGATAGAAATGAATGGTGAATAATTGAGCAGTACTTCTGGGTCTTCGAAACGTATGGATCAATGTTAATAAAAATCAGACTAGACGGTTCGTTTGGAAGAATCGGGAATTGGATAGATAACCGGTCCATTGATGCTTAAAATCCGCATGAATAGAACTCGGCTCAAAAATCAGAAAAGTTGTATGGGCAACCAAAAATCAGCGACCTGGTTTTACTAAGTTTTTTGAAGGGTTTTGAGAAAAAAAAATAGAAAGTTAAGAACCCGGCATTTCATCTAACTTCTCTCATTTACCTTAGGCTCACTAATGCAATATATGGTGCCCAAAAATCTAAAAGGAAACATGAAAATATGAATGAAAAAAATATGTAAATATATAGAGAGGCGCCTTCTTGTTTCAATTTGTTGGTAAGAATATGATTAGGATTCTATTAGTATATAGGGTTTTTTCTAGCTTTATTTGGGCCCATTTAGTTTTTATTTTATATTGGGAAAAATTCATTTTTCCTACTTTATCTTTACCCTATTTCAAAAATAACAAAACAACTTTCATATTTCAAAAATCAGATTTTTTAACCTATACATTTATCTTTACCCTATTTCAAAAATAACAAAACAACTTTCACATTTCAAAAATCAGATTTTTTAACCTATACATACACATATATATAAATATTTATTTATATATATAAATATATAAAAAGATATAAATAAATAAATATAATTAACCTATCCCTACCCCCACCTCCACCACACCCACCCCACCAATCCGGCAACCATCCCGGCATTGCTCCGGTGACCGCTCCGATGCCGATTCCGATTCCGGCGACTGTTCCGGCGATTACTCCTATTCCGGTGGCCATTCCGGCGGCTGCTCCGATTCCGGTGACCCTTTCGGCGATTGCTCCGATTCCGACGACTCAGGTCACATGTCACAGCCCAGGTCACAACTCAGGTCACAAGTCACAGTTCAGGTCACAACTCAAGTCACAAGTCACAGCCCAGGTCACAGTCCAGGTCACAAATCAGAATTTTGTTCATAGTTACGAGTTATATATATATGTATATATATATATATTTTTTNCCACCACCACACCCGCAACACATACAGAGCAATCAACCACTTCGAGCCACAATCGCCTGTTTCAACAACCATCGACCGCCTCCACCTTTGTCTGCAACTGCAATCAACCACTACATTACCACCACCATCCACAGCTACCACCCCCCCTAAAACCCCCCAAATCTGCAACAATCACCAGCCGCATCGCGAAGACGGTGATCTGAGAGAAAAAATAAAATCGAGAAGAGAGGAGAGGAGAGGAGAGGAGCTCCGCATTAGCGATGGGCTGTTGCAGCGACATCCGACAACGGGCCTAGGGAGAGGAGAGGGAGGTAGCGACGGGCTGCTGCAGCGAGGGTGAAGAGAGTCGAGAGGAGAGAAGACGGAGGCAGCAGGTTACACTGATCGCGTCGCTGAATTCACCACTTGTCGCCGGTGACGCTCCTCCGATGAAGCGCCTCAACGTCGGAGACGAAGGGATGGTGTAGGGTGAAGGGCGGCGATCTGTAATGTAGAGAGAGAGAGAGAGAGAGGAACGAGTGAATTGTAGGGTTTGTGAATTGTGTATATTATAATTAATTATAATATTATTATTAATATTTAATTAAATATAAAAAATATGTATCTATATATTTAAATATCTGATTTTTGAAACTTAAAACACGAAATCTGATTTTAGAATTTGAATCTGAGAGAGAGAGAGAGAGAGGAAAGAGTGAATTGTAGGGTTTGTGAATTGTGTATATTATAATTAATTATAATATTATTATTAATATTTAATTAAATATAAAAAATATGTATCTATATATTTAAATATCTGATTTTTGAAACTTAAAACACGAAATCTGATTTTAGAATTTGAATCTCCAAATGTAGGGGAGGGTGTAATTTCCACTTATATATTTAGTTGCATTTGGGTCCATTTAATGTTACTTTGATGTGGAATGGTATTAAAATAATGTAGAAAGCTAAATAATGAATATTTAAAAACTCTTTTACTTGATATTAAATTTTAATAGGATATATATCAATATATCAATTTTTTATTTAATTTATCATTTTCGGTTCAATCTCGGTTCAACCCTCTAATCCTTTGATGTAGGGTAACAAAAGTGTAAAAAATGATGAAACGAACAAGCTATCGACATTCTGTGGATTCCAAAAGAATATTGCAACACGATCACCTTTTAGTTTATGTTGATTCCTAAAAATATTAGAAATCTAGACATCAAAATTCTTTGATTCGGTCATGAATACAGAGAATTTGGACTCATTGATTTTTACTATCAAATAACGAGAATTTAAAAAATTGGAGAAAATATGAACAACTAATATTTTATTTCCATTCAAATACTTTTTTAAGTTTCAAAAATCTTTATCTATACATTTAAATATCCGATTTTTGAAACTTAAAACATAAATCTGATTTTAGAATTTGAATCTCCAAATGTAGGGGAGGGTGTAATTTCCACTTTTATATTTAGTTGCATTTGGGTCCATTTAGTGTTACTTTGATGTGGAATGGTATTAAAATAATGTTGAAAGCTAAATAATGAATATTTAAAACCTCTTTTACTTGATATTAAATTTTAATAGGATACATATCAATATATCAATTTTTTATTTAATTTATCATTTTTGGTTCAATCTCGGTTCAACCCTCTAATCCTTTGATGTAGGGTAACAAAAGTGTAAAAAAATGATGAAACGAACAAGCTATCGACATTCTGTGGATTCCAAAAGAATATTGCGACACGATCACCTTTTAGTTTATGTTGATTCCTAAAAATATTAGAAATCTAGACATCAAAACTCTTTGATTCGGTCATGAATACAGAGAATTTGGACTCATTGATTTTTTCTATCAAATAACGAGAATTTAAAAAATTGGAGAAAATATGAACAATTAATATTTTATTTCCATTCAAATACCTCCTGCCATGATGGGTTACAATGCATATCTAAAATAATAATTGAAATATGGATAACTAAATTCTAGATAATGACTAACTTTAGATAATGTCAAAATTCTACATAATGACTTAAATTAAAAAGTCCTAATCAAAATTGAATTCCAAATTTATTTAATAAAGAAATACTAACTTAAAAATAATTAAAAAATCCTAATTATAAATGAAATATGATACATAGATAAAATTGTCTAAATTAAATTAAGATCACTCATATTCAAGTTTCATCACCCTTGGCCCTCTCTCTTTTCCGGGTCAATGTCAGGATCGTTTTTCAAAACATTGGCATGGATAAAAAGTGACTTGAGTGTTTATAAATAGTTTATAAACACTTTCCAAGCATAGAGGATTGTTTTGTTTTTTGTAAAGTTAAATCTACAGTCTTAAAATATTGCATCATTTTCGGTTTGTGTATAGCCCCTCGCTGTATTTTCCGCCTCTCACACTCCCTTGCCCACTGGGAAAGTAGTATTACTGATAACTTTGCAATTTGTTTGTTGGAAATGTGGCAATGTGCAGGTTCAGGACTGCTACAAGATTAAAGAGGCTGCTTTGGGCACTAAAACGGCTGTGCTGAAAGAAAGAGAAGTCAAACTAAGTCCATTACAGAATTTGCCATCAATCAGCTCTAAAGAAACAGTCGAAGATGCTGCTACAATAGCTGCCCGCAAGATTGCTGAGGCACAAAATAAATCCCTTGTGGCAGCTGAAGCAGTTAAAGAGTCTGAAAGGCTCTCAGAGATGGCTGAAGATGCAGATTCATCCCTACTTATCTTTAAAGAGATGCTTGAACAATGTAAGTTTGTTACTACAATTTGGCATTATACTGCAATATTTGTCATCGTTATTTTAAGACATATCGTGAAAGATTGATTCATTTATAAAGAAAGCATTGCTTTTGTACAGCTTAACTTGATAAAAGAATCTTTTGTTGCTGGATATTCTTTCTAGGTTCAAAGGGCGAAACTCTTCTCTTGGCATAGGCTGTCTGAAGTTCAACGTAGCTACTGATTCCTTTGTGTACATAAGGCCCATCAGGAAAGGGGACTCATCGTTCTTGTTGTAGCACATATAGGTAACAAGCCTTGGTCTCCTCGACTAGTAAATCTACGAAGTTAGTTGCACAGGGTGTGAAGTGATTTTTGAAAGGTAGACTGTGCCTCTTTTAACAGTTTGTGGGGTTTTAAGAAATGTTCGTAATTGAGTCTGAGATGATAAATAGTAGATTTCCGAAAACAACTTCTATCCAGATATGACTTTCATGCTCAGATTGTAATGTGAGATCTGTGTAAAACTCGTGTTTACGAAGGTTCATGGCAAGAGATCCAAATATGGAAACTGCTTCTACATACATTAAAGATCGATTATAATATCTTCAAATTATTCATGGCAAGTAGCAATTAATAGGGAACATTAACCTGAAATTTCTTATGCTCTAATACATCAGAACCATGGGAAAGATAATACTCTTAAAGACTTGGAATTGGTAAGAGTACTGAATAATCAGCATAATGGGAATAGATCATGTTGAAGCATATAAATGCAGAACACACAAGACATTTGAGCTAACAATATTTTCATTTTATCTATTATTAAACGCACAGGCAATTCTTAACATAAAACAAGTAATGGGGGCGTTTGTATCCCGCCATGAAATGAGAAAACATAGTTCAAGTTAGAAAAGTGCGTGCCTTGGAGTACTGCAGATTGAATCCCAATCACAAATTATAAGATCACGAGCTCGAGTGTTAAGGACCGCAATTTTAGTTGAACCCCTTGACCCAATCGTCACTACAATTTGTCCAACTTCGACTGTACATTGTAAATATTAGTTCAAGTTTGAGTTGTAATTTATTTTCCATTGTAATAGTTTATTTCAATTGTAAAATAGATCTGATATTTATAAATGTTTAGTATGATTTCTTGTCATTTAAATGTCTACTCCTTCCACTTAGATTTTTGTTTTGCAAGCTATTATAGGAGGTATTAGTCTTTCAAAAATCTTTCAAGCTTTCTGGTGTTCGCTCCCCACACCAGTCATTGTAATTTCTTGCTCTCATCAATTGTAATTTCTATCTTTCAAGCAATCAATGATCAATTCATTTTCAATGTATCTTAATTTTATGTTGCAAGTTTTCTACAAATTGTAATCAAAATTTTTTTTCGTCCAGAAACGACTGAGAGAATGCGGAAGGTAGTCCAGCAGAGTAGACTATTGCCGCACGGTGTCCTTTTCTATACCAAGAAGAAAGACACCCCGTGAAACTTTGTCATGATGGTCTCAAAACTTGCTTTAGGCGATAGTTGTGGAGATAGTAGTGGAGCTTTCCGTCTCTTGGACTGAATTTAAGCTCCTTTAAGAAAGTCTCGTGAGCATAACATCGAAAGCAATGAAAACATCAAAATCATTCCTCTTCACCACAATGAGAGCATCATTCATCAACTGAATCAATGGAGTCTTTGTCGACAAGTAATAAGAACAAGTAGCCTTTAAAGTAGAATGGTTTTGGTTACTGAGTATTGAAGATGGGAGGGTGTAAAAACTGCAGAAGTCAGTGATTTCACGAGTTTCAGGACTTTCTACCAAATAACTATCCACAACATCTCCTTTGGAAGTAGCCAGTGCTCTACACTGGGCCGGTCCTCAAAATTATGATGTCCTAGGCGATAAATTGTTACGCGATTCTTAAATATAAATGAAGTGAACGTGTTTAAAATAAATAACTTATTTTTGACTTTCATAAAAAATAATTTATGAATTTTAAAGAAACTTCATAAGCCTTAACAAAAAAATTATAAAGAACATTTTTAAATTTTTTTGCATTGACTTTTTTCTAGATTTTGGTAGATAGAGAAAAAAAATGGAAAAGGAAATATATAGCACTGGGTAATAGTTTAATTATATGTCTATTTTATTCCTTAAATCAAGAATGTAAGTTAAGTCCAAGTACTTTAAGCCTATTATTTAGTTCTATTTTGTTATTGCTTTTTAAAGGGCTAAATAACCAAACTCAAAGAAATATAAAGAAAAACTTTTATTAGGCTATTGGAACTTTATTTTTTTAGACCCTTCAGATCTACATGCCCAAGGCAACGGCTTAGTTTGCCTTGGGCCATGGCCTGGCATGACTCTACTTCATCCTCATCAAAATCTAGTGCAACAATTAACAATTTTCAATAATTCCCAAGCAATCGACTAACTGCAAGAACATCATGGGGTTCCATCTTTCGAAACCCGAGAATCACCGTTTGATCTGGTACCTTGTACAGCTATATTGTCCGGTTCATTGTCATTCTTGTACCGACCCTACAAAATCCAACCTCGATAAGCTTCTTATGGTTTAATGATCTATGCCAATATGACAAGTAGTTATGGGAGTAGGGAGGATGACCCCAGCAGTATAAGCTACTTGCCAGATATCCCCAAGATTATTGAACTGGCCAACAGGCTGGGCTTCCCAAAACTTGTGCTTTTTTCACATCGGATAGACACTATCGGACCTTCAGAGCTAAAACGTCAATTAATATTTCGTTCTCAATACGAGAAGGCACATTAACATCAGCAGAAGAATCATGGTTCTCAGGCGGTTCATTGTTACAATAGCTTGATCTGACATTTATTAAAACAACCATTTTCAATAGTTTTGCTCTGGTATACATTCACAAATTATAAACCCAAAACAAATAATACAAGTAACAAACAAACAATGAACTTACAAAGACATGAACATAAAATAAACAGTTAAAGTTCATCTATAAACCAAATTAACTAGTAGTTGTGAGTGTAAGGACAGGGGTTACGCCCTTGGCATTACCAATTGTAGTTAAACAATTGAGCCAAAATGTTTAACCCAACATTAATAAATAGTTTACAAACCAATAACACTACATCCCCACAGGCCACAACTGATGTTAATCAGAGTGTTACAAATTGCCTATGCAATGCCCACTCTACAAGTTCAAATTTGCCTATGCGAATAGTATCTCCAACATGAACTTGAGTTAGTCCCCTGGCTTTAGCGACACAGTTGGACACCAACCGACTAAAAAAATGCTTGAACCAGTTATAAGAAATTGAAGAAATGAAGATGCTCTTCTTTGTAGAGGAGAGAACAAATGAGAAATAATTGATTCTTGATTGAAGAGGAATTTACCAGCATTATTACAAACGTCTACTTATGCCTTAATATATATACAAATAATTGGAATGATCTAGAATCCTACTCAAAACCAATTGGCTGAAAAAGTAAAAACTATACAACTAAATTCTCAACAGAAAAAGGTTACACAACAGACACATAACAGAATGCAAATTGGCCCTTAGTGCATCTGTTTGGTAGCGACCTTTCTACCCTTCACCATCACACCTTTCTTTCCTTTCCTGATAATCAATTGTCTATTGTTGATTGTCACAGGATTCACATATTCATATTTCAGCATCCCCTGCAAGATGGAGAGTGGATATCAACGACTCCCATTTTGTTCATGTGTCGGTAAAGTTGGAATGAGTTTAACGATTTTGTCAAAATGTCAGCAACTTGTGAGTCACTATTAAGATGCTCAGTGATTATACTTCCTTCCTAAATTTTATCCCTTATCAAGTGGCAATCCAACTCAATGTGCTTAGTTCTCTCATGGAAAATCTGGTTGGCTGCTATGTGGAGAGCTGATTTGTTGTCACAGAATAGAGTAGCTGCCTGTAGAAGATTAACTTTTAAGTCTTGAAACAAATACCTGAGCCAAGTGAGCTCACAACATGCATTTGCCATTGCCCTATGCTCAGCCTCTGCTGAAGACTTGGATATTGTGCTTTGTTTATTTGATTTCCAAGATATTAATGACCTTCCAAGCATTACACTATACCCTGTGACACTCCGTCGTGTATTAGGGATAGCTCCTCAGTCTGAGTCACAATAAGCATTGAGCTGCAATTTTGATTTAGCAGAGAGTAATAATCTATGTCCTGGTGCTCCTTTTATATATCTCAAAATTTTGTTAACAACATTGAGGTGAGAGGTGCGAGGAGCACTCATGAATTGACTTAATAGCTGTATCGAATATGAAAGGTCCGGCCTGGTAATTGTGAGGTATAACAATCTTCCAACAAGCCTTCTATACATGCTGGGATCAGGAAGTAGCTCTTCATCAGTTTTAGATATCCTTACATTTTGATCCAAAGGTATCCTTGCTGGCATACTCCCTAATGTTCTTGAATCTGATAGTATGTCCAAAGCGTATTTTCGTTGGCAAATATAAATTCCCTTATCAGACCTTGCTACCTATATCCCCAAAAAATATTTTAATATGCCTAAATCATTGATCTTAAATTTCTTATCAAGCAAGGCCTTAAGAGAATCAATGCTGTTGACATTACTGCTAGCCACAATTATGTCATCCACATAGACAAGGATGACAATGAAAGAGTTCCCATTTGACCTTGTGAATAGGCTATAGTCTGCTTTTGATTGAGTGAACCCTTGTTCAATAATGAAAGCTGAAAGCTTGGAATACCATTGTTGAGACGCTTTCTTAATGCCATATATGCTTTTCGACAACCTACATACCTTCAAGCCACCTGCATTAGGATGACCAGGAGGTACTTCCATGTACACTTCATCTTCTAAATCCCCGTGTAAGAACATATTATTTACATCGAATTGATGTAGATGCCATCCATTTACGTCAGCTACAACAAGCACGGTCTTGACATTTATCATTTTTGCTACAGGTAAAAAGGTTTCATGGTAGTCTAATCCCTCTCGTTGTGTGTATCCTTTTGCCACAAGTCTGGCCTTGAACCTTTTAACACTTCCATCAGCTTTATACTTTACCTTATATACCCACTTGCACCCAATGGATCTTTTGTTGAGGGGAAGGTCTGTGACAACCCAGGTGTTATTCATCTCAAGGGCAGCAATCTTCGCATTCATGGCACTACACCAGTCAGGTGAAGCAAGTGCTTCTTGGTATATGTTAGGTTCAA